ATTCCAAGTAAACACATAATATTTAAATGATGCTTACCTAAATTAATGATAATTAATCTTAGTAGTTCTTCTTTATATTTCTATGAGTCTGGGTAGTAATATATTTGTTTTCTTAACATTTTACGATTCTAAATTTGTTTATATCCCAAATAAAAACATATTTTACATGTAACATCTAATTAATAAAATTATTTTTTGTAATTCTTATTTTATTGTTTTTCTCTGTACTAAATATATTTATTCTTATAACTATAAAAAAACTCATTCCTAAAAAAATTTGTTTTAATTTGTTCTAGGTTGAGTATTAAATTTATTAAAATCTTAATATTCTAAATATACCCATATTCCTAAGTAATACTGCATATATTATCTTAACCAATAATATTTACTTAGTAATTCTTCTTTAACACTTTTAGGAATATACCAGTGTTCTAAATATATAGTCTATGCTATTGTGTGTGTATATATATATACATATAAAAATATCAAAAGAAAAAAATTGTATAAAATTACTAATTTTTGTACTCATCCAGCATTTGCTGGGCAATACTAGGAAGTTGTAGCCAAAGAGGGAAAAACTCTCCTTTTACCACAGCCCCTCCTACTCTACCCTTGCAGCCAAAGAAATTTTCTTTATCACAACTCCTCCTTGACACCAAAGTTTCACTTGCTCCAGATTTCTCTTCTTTACTGCAACTCTTTAGCCTCAAAGTTTGCAAAAGAAGAAGCAGTGCCAAGTGGTAGAAATGGAGGCCCAAGAGCTTGTGTTGGTCAAGTATAAAGGTTTATGGATGGGTATGTCAAGTGATCGTCCTTTGTAGTGTTGGATATACATGTGTGTAGGGTCTTATCCATCCTAATTTTCTTTAGGGCTGGATTAGCAATGGACTGCTATGGCTAGAATTGGAGAGCCTGCTTGGATCTCTCATATGCTGCACAAGAATTTTCCACTCATCTTTGTAGGATGCCCTAGCTAAGAATAGGTAAGATCTTTTCGTTCTTTCAGAGGAAATTCTATTTTCAGGTTTTGTGCTGGGTTTTAACACGGGAGAAGTTGGCTCTCATGGAGGGATGAGTTCACGATCCTTATGATTACCTTTTAAAAATAGGTTAAGATCATTAGGGTTGCAAATGAATCAAGAACTTGAGGAGGAGGTGTTGCAGCAGCTGCCGCTGCGCGATGTCTGGCAGATGAGAGCAGTGTGCAAACGGTGGCGGGAATTGATCGACTCCCCAGGCTTTGGCGTGCGGCATGCACAGGCAAACATTCCAGCAGCTATTCCTTATGTTCTTGCAGGCACGTTGTGCATGTTCAGGGGCAACCCATTTAACAACAGCAACGCCTTCAACTGGATAGAGATGGAAGTGTGCCCACAGTGGGGTTTCTTATAGCTCTGCTTTTTGAAATGGAACCAGGTCCTAGTAGGCAATCCAGTCACTGGATGCTTTAGAGCGTTCCCAGATCTCAGGGCTAAAGGGCTGATTTCATCCTCTTACATGGGCATCAGTCAAGACTTCAAGGAATACACAGTCTGCTTTGTAAAAAGTCGTTCTTGTGAAGAAAAAAAAGTTGAGATCAGAGGTAAGGTGAGAAGTGTCTACACAATGTTTACAACAGCTCATGTATACAACTCGAGACTGGGATTCTGGAGGGCTGCTAGCACAGCATTGGGATGGTGTCAGTTGCAGAATATGGGGAAATGGTGGGCAACACTACTTTGTATTTGCTTTGTGGTCACTACAAGAATTTGAATGATCCAGAGTATGTCGGTCTGTTCACTTTGGATTTGGAAGGGTTGAGGTTTGAATTAAAGCAGACTTGGCCATGGGATGAGCGGCTACACAGGAACAATGGTTTATTTGTTTCCTGCCATGGTCGGACAGGTGTGTTGTGCTGCACTCAATTCAAAAACAGCATGCATCTATGGTATATGCAAGGAGAAACAGGTGGTGATGTTGGAGGTGAAAATCTGGCTAAAGGTGTTGGTAAAGTATCCAATGCTATATGTTTGAATGGAGCTGTTTTATTTGTGGAGAAGAAGTCTTTATCTACAACCATTTTGAATTTATCTACTACAGATGCAGTTGCTTTCCCATTTCAGAAAAATTCCACTCTAGCAAATTTCGTAGAATTTACACCTTTGCTTTTATATTGTGTTTCTTTTTATAATATGAATTACTTAGTCTCGTCTATTACTTTTATTTTCCTCGGGCAATTTCACGACAGCGCTGGGCCAAGCGCCCGATACGAATGTGTGAGATATGCGCATCTCTTTGTTTCTCTCGCTCCTTCCAGGGTTTCCTCCCTAGTGCTCCTGATGCATGCTCTGGAGCTCCATTCTGCTTGTGATCTATAGCTAATCTCGTGTGATCTGTTTATCCTCCTCCTTTCTTCTCTTTCTTCCCCTTTTTTTCTGCAAAAGTTGGAGACTTGATCAAGAGAGAAGCAAATGGTTATATCACTATACAAAATATTAAAAAATGGAGGAATATAATCATGTCAATAATATAGAATACTTAGAAAATGTTGTTTCTTTTAATTGTGCTGTTGTTTTTTCTTCCAAATATATATATAGTTTCACTTTAAAAGGAAATAAAATATAACTCTTAGTCAACCTTTTTAGTTTTCAAAGAAATGTCGTAAAGTTTCACAACCAATCAATATTATAATTAAAATCATGGTATAAATACATTGTTTATTTTGAATATGTTGGAAAGTGCATGATTATATTTTCGAGTTTGTGTTTTCTAATGATAATTACTTGCTTAAGAATGTTTGAATGCTTTATTCTGAAGAGAAACTTGGGAATATTAAGTTTTTCAAGAGCAAAGAGTCAATAAAAATGATGCATTCTAAGAGAATTAACCATAGAAGACAACTATATTACTGAAGAATTTGCTATACCAGGTTTCCTTTATTTTTTATAGTTTTTATGCAATTTCCTTTTTATGACTGGTTTGTCTTTAATTCTATGAATGCTAAGCGTAGCACCTAATAAGGTTAAGTGCTTGTTTAGATTGCATAGCATTGAATATTAATGTTAATATCTTAGCCATTGCACATTATGATAAATGATGGGTAATGGTGTTGCCACTATATCTTACCCTCTACTCTTTATTCCATTGAGATTGTTCTAATGAAATTCCTATGAAGTCTCCAGTTTTTAAATAGCTAGAACTCTTTATGCCCTTGAGTGTGGAAAGCTCAATATATTATTTTCAGAAGTTTAATAACTTAGCTTTTAGGTTTACATGTTACAGACATCCTTTTAACTTAGAGGATATATAGAAAGTGGGAGTTGTGGTGAGATCTAAAGGATGGCAAAATCATCAACTTGTCAACTTGGGTGACTACTAGCTTTTCAGCTTCCAACTCAACACTGAGCTTGAGTTACAATTTGTAAAACAACCTTCTTCATTGAGAACGATTGACATGAAGGCAAAGCATCGTCTACTAAAAGTGGCACCAATGGATAGTATGCCTCCTACCTTTGCGTGGTGATAGCAAATGTTTCCAAGTTGTAGGGGGAATCTGGTGTGTCTGGAGACTTTGTTTACATTTCAACATATTGCACCTGTGAGTCAAGGACACCTAAGATGATCTCTATTCCCACACCCTGTCTATTCACTATGGTGACTGGCTCAATCGGATATAAGCACCCCTATCCAGAAGATCCAAGGCCCATGCCTCCTTGCCAACCATGTTGCTGCATAACCAATATTATCACTTTTGAACTGTCCTATCCACGGATGTGAGCCAGCAATCCACTCCTCATTCTCATTGACACCAATATGATCATCAATGAAGTCATGTGGTCTTGAGAAGTGAACGAGATTCACTAAATCTGTCCGAGCTTTTCCTTTTTGATCTGGCTTGGTTTTGGACCAACTGTACATTCTCCTGCAGAGGCTTGTGCTGAAAACCTTGTTGTTGTGGAGGCCAAGGAGTAGGTGTGGAAACAATAGCATGGTTTCCCCATGTCATATATTCTTGCTTTGCTCTCTAACATTCCTTATCATGGCTATAAAGCTGACAAAACTCATAAACTGATACTACTCCTGCATCAACTACTCTTCGCCCCCGGCTAGAGTATCCTTGGCCTTGGCCATGCCCAGCCTATTGTTGCCTCAATGAATTTGTCTCTATTTCTATCCGATTCAACCTCTTGGTCATCTGCTGCTGACTTTCCTTGAAAGTGCCATTAGAGAGCATCTAAGTAGAGTAAGTAGAGGAAGGAGTAGATCTCTGCCAATGCACTGTGTGATAGCCCTCCTTGTACACCGTTTTTCTTTGCTAAAACAACCTCTTGTGTTCTTGAGTGATAGCATATTGTATAACTTTGTCCAGCTTCTTCAGGCACTTCCCACAAACTTTGTGCCAAAATAGATGCATACAATTCACATATGCCTTTACCACCTGAACTCCATTACACTATATGTTCACGCTCTCACACTTATGAATATATTGTTTGAAGTAACTATAATACTCATAGATGGACTCTTGCAATAGCATCTTATACACATTGAACTTAGCCATGATGAAATCAAGTGTGTGAATTAACTCAAATCTACCAAACACTAGAAATCTCAAATCATTTCAAGATATCTTGATGACCAAAAAATCACTTGCATGCAGCTCATTCCATCACGAAATGAATCAAGAAAAACACTTTATAGACACTTCAAGATCAAGTGCTTCCACCCATATACCCCATTTACAAATCCAACACAAATCCAAGAAAGAACATGATATCAAAATCCTCAAATTCCTACATAAACCTAGCCATTTTGGATTCATTGGATAGATCATAATGTGGTGCTTCCTCTGCTACAAGAATCAGCTCAATCCACTTTATATCCTGCAAGAATTCTTGTTCCAGATTCCATGACCCAAAACCTCAACTTTTCACTTCAATCCTTTTGCAGATTCAAAGGGTGAACAAACCAAGAAGTCACTCTACCTTGTCTGGTGTACCAAAAATGTGAAGGAGAGCCTAGAATACACTAAATAATAGAATATGCTTGACATATTCTCATACAGTGTTGGACATTGTTTCATGGCCTCACACGTTTTATGGAATTGGTTCATCTTCATTCGCAAGCCATGATACAGCCTTGAAGCTCTCCATTTCATTCAGCGGATCCTGTGATGCTTCGTACGAATGACTAGTGTCTATAAGCAAGAAAAGACTTACCAAGAGCAATGAAGGGTAAGACCTCGACTTCCACCTGACAAGGAAATGCTTCATCAGCTCTTCTTCTGCCTTCTTGCCTTCCTCCGTCTTCCTTCTCCGTGAGAGTGCATGAAACTCCTGTTAGTGCTTCCCTCTTGCAATGAGATAACCTTTGCCATGCCATTTGAGAATCTACGTAGAGGCTCCTCCTGAAACAAAAATAAATACATAATGCCAGTATGAGAGGCATCTCGAGCTCCTCCATAGAACAGACTTCATTGGCGGATCCAAGCACTGGAGGTGATACAAGCATCGCAGCAGAAAACTTTGCCACCACTCTTGCAAATGGTGCAAAAATCTTTCCTCACCGCCCCCATCCAGCTCCATCTCCCCATGAAATAGGATGCCTTCCTCCCTGGACGAAAGCCTAGAACTAAAAAACAATGGAAGAAATATGAATGCCATACCTTCCAGCTCGATTGGGCTCCAGAAGCTGAGGGAGAACATCCTTCTTCTCGCTGAGAAAGTACCATGTGCTAGCCGATGCCAAGAGCCTGCATTCCATGTTGGCCCTCTATCCACTGTGGAAGCCCTCTCCAAACCATATCCTTCACGACCTCACTCCATTGATGTTATTGTTTTTATTGGCATATGTTAAACAAAATCTTTGCGGGTTTACTTTTACAATAGCCAATCTGCCTTGCGATGTCGTCCAATATCATTGAAGAGTGAGCAACCACACACAAACCACCACTAACCAATGAGTAACAGTGTAACGCTACAAGTTCCTGTAGTTTCTTAGGGATAGATCCACTCCATCTGCTTGGCTTAAATGCACTCGCCCACATCTCCCACACATTTTACCCTTAATCCAGCAAATGGAAGGGAGATGGATCTTGAGCACTTGCATCGTCCTCTTCACTGCAGCGCTATGGCGATTCCTGACGGTCTACTGGTGGCGCCCCAGGGCGATCGCGGCGCAGCTGAAGAAGGAGGGCATTCAGGGGCTTCCACCCCGGTTCATGGTAGGCCAAATAGCTGAAATCCAGAACATGAGGCGCGCCATCAAGGATCACAACATGGAAAGTTTCAGCCACGACATTTTCCATCGGGTACATCCTGCGTTGCTCAAATGGCAGAAGCAATATGGTATGTTATTGTCCCTGATGAATCTCAAAGCTTCGTTTCTGATGATCATGGTCCAGGAAAGAGATTTGTGTTCTGGTGGGGAACTGAGCCAAGGATATTGGTCTCGGAGCCTGAGATCGTAAGGGAGGTTTTGTCTAAGAAGTTTTCTCAGTTTGATAAATCGGTGGGCGGGCTGCGGGTTGCGAACTTGTTCCTTGGTCGTGGATTGGTTTGTGTTACTGGAGAGGAATGGGGTCATCACCGCCGACTCGTAGCACCGGCATTCTTTCATGAACGTATTAAAGTGGGTATTCATACTATTATCTTCTGTTTCTGATTCTCCTGGACACAGCAAATGACCGGTACAATCGCACGGTGCACGTTTCGCATGCTTGATCAATGGGAAGCTACGAGGCAGCAGAATCCCGAGATTGAAATCTCTGGAGAGGTGCGCAAGCTCACAGGAGACGTTATCTCCCATACAGCATTTGGAACTAGCTATCTCGAAGGGCAGAGGGTTTTCGAGATATTGTCTAAGAAAATCCCAGAGCTAGTCCCCAAACTCATCAGCTTTTCCTGGATTCCAGGCTTCAGGTATGCTCGATCATCTATTGAACTGAACCATAATCACTTGCTACAGGTTTCTCCCACTTCCAATCAACCTCCAACTGTGGAAGCTTCATCAGGAGTTGGATTCTCTGATCACTGGGATCATAGACGAGCGTCGGAACTCAGTGAAGTCAGGGGGGAGCAATACATACGGGAATGACTTACTCGGACTGATGCTAAAGGAGTGTGACAGCAGCAGTAATTTCACAAGCAGTGATCTGATAGAGGAATGCAAGACGTTCTACATTGCGGGCCATGAGACCACAGCCGCCCTACTAACCTGGACTTTGATGCTACTGGGAGGCTATCCTGAATGGCAAGAACGCGCCCGTGCTGAGGTACACGAAGTATGTGGCAATGAGATTCCTGATGGCGAGAGTGTCAGCAGGCTCAAGCTCGTAAGTCGATCAATATCTCCTAATTCCAAAACTTAACTTCTTGATTCTTGAACAGGTGGGAATGATCCTTTACGAAACTCTGCGGTTGTATCCACCAGTAGTCGAGATGACCAGGGAGTGTGTGGAGGAGTCTTGGCTGCAAGATTTACACGTTCCAAAAGGAGTATCTGTGTCGTTTCCAATCGTTGGATTGCATCAGGATAAGGAGCTCTGGGGAGAAGATGCAGGCCAATTCAATCCGGATCGCTTCAAAGATGGGATCTCAAGCGCGTGCAAGCATCCAAATGCTTTCATGCCGTTTTCGTTTGGGCCGCGGGTGTGCGTGGGCCAGTCGTTTGCGATGATCGAAGCCAAAGTCATTCTGGCTATGATACTACAGCGATTCTTGTTCCGGCTTTCACCGAACTACTGCCATAATCCTGCGATGAAGTTTGGCTTGAAGCCTATCCATGGAGTGCCGCTTGTACTCAGTAAAATGTGATGCATGTTCGTGGCATTAGAAGTTTATAAAAGTTATGTTTGTTAAACTTCTCCGAGTTCTTGAACCAAACTGGTTGATAAATCATCTGCTCTTTCATAGTACCTCAGAAACGCTTAGAACCATCGCGATGGAGGCCGAGGTTCCAAGAGATCTGCATCTTTTCATCCACCACCGAGTGAACTCGCAGGCTTCTTGAACGATCCAGAGCGAGATGCGGTTTGGTGTCAAGGGCGAGACGATCAAGCGCGAGATCAACCCATCTAGAACCCGTCCTCCTAACTCCTAAATCCGCCTCGAGCAGCGAGAATCTCGTCCAAAATGCCATGCTTATCAAATTCAAACTAGAGTTTAAACTGTTTATAATACTGTTTTGATATGGATACATATATTTTTCGAGCCATTGGATTGAAACAGCATAGTTTAGAATATAGCCATCAATCGGCATTATGGAATATACAGGACTGCCATAGTGGATCACATTCTAATTTGGGCTTGCATTGCTTCACCAGCCACTGCACAATAGAAACTACCCCTACAAAATCAGTGATCCACTCTGAATTGAAAGGACTTCTCTCACCCATGGGGTGTCGCTCAGATGGCAGGGATCGTTGGGGTGGAGTTACACGCTGGGCCTCAACAACGTGGTGGAGCATTGCAACAGGGTTGAAAGTGTGATGGGATCATCATGTTTTGGACGTTGTGATATGCATTATATATTTGCTCTAATATATCAATTATAACATTTTGTACTTAGTGAAGGATATTAGCATTAGCCACAACCACACCATCAACATCCACTATAATATATATCTTTTTAATTGAGTTTAATGGAATATAAAATAATTTAATATTAAAAACAAAGTACCATATGCAAAGAGTTATTTATTTTCTAAATTATTAATTAATTATTTTACACATAAAGATTAAATATAATAATGCAATGTTGAATTAATATAAAAGATAACTAATGTTAAATATAATTAAATATTTTATCTGTAGGTCACTTAGTAATTAAATCACTTCAACATTTTGGATAAGTTTATTTAAAGTTTCCCAACACTGTAAATGTAGTTATACAACATACAAAATCAATTATGTCAAAAGTAAAGATGTTTATAATATTGCAACCTGAAAGTGTAAATCTTGACCTTTTTCTATGTAAGGAAGTCTTTGCAACCATATCCACCATAGTACTTGAATATATAGATAAATAAATCTTTGCTCGAAATCAATCAAGCTAACTTTTATGTGTGGAAACAGTTCATACAAACCAAATATAATATCATTGCTATGTCTGCATCGAAGTATTGAGCCAAAAGTTTAAACATAAGTGTAATAAAAGTCCAAGAATCAAGCATTATATCTTTTTGTTGCATTCATATGTAACTTATGAGGTTATGGCCAATAGGCCTACTTATCCAAAAAAATAAATTCTTTTTAATGTATTCTTTTACATTATAACCTAATCTAAGTACATTCTAACCGAGATCATAAAATATGCTAGAATATACCTAGAAGTGTTTTAAAAAGTATCAACTGTAATATGCTAGAATATTCAGGCATATTCTAAATGTATTGAGAATTCTTCATCGTTTTTTCTTTCCTCGGTGCCAATCAGGGTGAGAGAGCTAGACAAGATCCAATCTTTCTTAGTAGCATCACATCAAGAAGAAAGAGGAAGAAGAAGAAGACATGGCTTCTCCAAGGCGATGCTCCATCCTATTTAAATGAAGGCGTTTGCTGCCAGAGATCGATCTACTCGCTCACACTGGAGAAGCTCCAGAATTCAATGCAGGACGAGTTCATTACTCACTCCTTATGGTTACCTTTTAAGAATAGGTTAAGATCACTAGGGTTGCAAATGAACCAAGAGATTGAGGAAGAGGTGTTGCAGCAGCTGCCGCTGCGCGATGTCTGGCGGATGAGAGCAGTGTGCAAACGGTGGCGGGAATTGATCGACTGCCCAGGGTTTGGCGTGCGGCACGCACAGGCAAGCATTCCAGCAGCTGTTCCTTATATTCTTGCAGGCACGTTGTGCGGAAGGATTTTCAGGGGCAACCCATTTAACAACAGCAACGCCTTCAACTGGATAGAGATGGAAGTGTGCCCACAGGGGACTTCCTTCTTATAGGAAGTGCTGGTGGATTGCTCTGCTTTTTAAAAGGGAACCAGGTCCTAGTAGCCAATCCAGTCACTGGATGCTTTAGAGCGTTGCCAGATCTCAGGGCTAAAGGGCTGATTTCATCCTCTTACATGGGCATCAGTCAAGACTTCAAGGAATACACAGTCTGCTTTGTAAAAAGTCGTTCTTGTGAAGAAGAAAAAGTTGAGATCAGACGTAAGGTGAGAAGTGTCTACACAATGTTAACAGCTCATGTATACAACTCGAGACTGGGATGCTGGAGGGCTGCTAGCACACCATTGGGATGGTGTCAGTTGGAGAATACGGGGGAAATGGTGGGCAGCGCTACTTTGTATTTGCTTTGTGGTCACTACAAGGATTTGAATGATCCAGAGTATGTTGGTCTGTTCACTTTGGATTTGGAAGGGTTGAGGTTTGAATTAAAGCAGACTTGGCCATGGGATGAGCGGCTACACAGGAATCATGGTTTATTTGTTTCCTGCCATGGTCGGACAGGTGTGTTGTGCTGCACTCAATTCAAAAATAGCATGCAGCTATGGTATATGCAAGGAGAAACAGGTGGTGATGTTGGAGGTGAAAATCTGGCTAAAGGTGTTGGTAAAGAATGCAATGCTATTTGTTTGAATGGAGCTGTTTTATTTGTGGAGGAGAAGTCTTTATCTACAACCATTTTGAATTTATCTACTACAGGGAAAGCAGTTGTTTTCCCATTTCAGATAAATTCTGATCTACCAAATTTCGTAAAATTTACATGTTCGCTTTTATTACCATAACTTGTGTTGTGTTTTTTTATAATATGAATTATTTAGTCTTGTCTATTACTTTTATTTTTCTCTTTGGGTAATTTGT